CAAGAGGTACATTAGTGACATGATAAGACATAGAATACGGTGGTTGATGACTCTTAGCACGCTGACATGCATCACACACTAATGGTGAAGTATTTGAAGTAAAACATGGAAGGTCATGGCTCCGAACAATGGAGGTGACCACATTATTGGTGGGGTGACCTAAACGTTGATGCCATTGCGAGGACGAAACTCGAACACTGGATGAAGCATGGCGAGATGACGAGGCCGATGCACGAGCAAAGGGAATCGAGTAGACCCCTCCCCGACTGCTACCTTGAAGAATGACGCGCCTAGTTGCTTTGTCCTTAACAAAGAAAAGACGACGATGAAACTCAACAAACACGTCATTATCACAAACAAGGCGATAGACAGAAAGAAGATGATCTCTGATGTGTGGAACATGCAGGATGTTGCACAGTTTGAGAGATGAACCGGGTAAACGGGAATGACCAATGCGTGAAATAGACAAACCTGCACCATTGGCCACTTGAACCTGGTCATTGCCATCATAGTGCTTGTGAACCTAGAGACGTTCAAGATCACTTGTCAGGTGATCCGTAGCCCCGGTGTCTAGTACCCAAGGATAGTCGACGGTGTTGGTGGAGGCCGAGTTGGCGGAGCGAGTGTTGTTTGTTGGAAATATGCCCTAGAGGCAATAATAAATTAGTTATTATTATATTATATTTCATTGTTCATGATAATCGTTTATTATCCATGCTAGAATTGTATTGATAGGAAACTCAGATACATGTGTGGATACATAGACAACACCATGTCCCTAGTAAGCCTCTAGTTGACTAGCTCGTTGATCAATAGATGGTTACGGTTTCCTGACCATGGACATTGGATGTCGTTGATAACGGGATCACATCATTAGGAGAATGATGTGATGGACAAGACCCAATCCTAAACCTAGCACAAGATCGTGTAGTTCGTTTTCTAAAGCTTTTCTAACGTCAAGTATCATTTCCTTAGACCATGAGATTGTGCAACTCCCGGATACCGTAGGAGTGCTTTGGGTGTGCCAAACGTCACAACGTAACTGGGTGGCTATAAAGATACACTACGGGTATCTCCGAAAGTGTCTGTTGGGTTGGCACGAATCGAGACTGGGATTTGTCACTCCGTGTAACGGAGAGGTATCTTTGGGCCCACTCGGTAGGACATCATCATAATGTGCACAATGTGACCAAGGAGTTGATCACGGGATGATGTGTTACGGAACGAGTAAAGAGACTTGCCGGTAACGAGATTGAACAAGGTATCGGGATACCGACGATCGAATCTCGGGCAAGTATCGTACCGATAGACAAAGGGAATTGTATACGGGATTGATTGAATCCTTGACATCGTGGTTCATCCAATGAGATCATCGTGGAGCATGTGGGAACCAACATGGGTATCTAGATCCCACTATTGGTTATTGACCAGAGAGTTGTCTCGGCCATGTCTGCATGACTCCCGAACCTGTAGGTCTACACGCTTAAGGTTCGATGACGCTAGGGTTATAGGGAAAGTATGTACGCGGTTACCGAATGTTGTTCGGAGTCCCGGATGAGATCCCAGACGTCACAAGGAGTTCCGGAATGGTCCGGAGGTAAAGATTGATATATAGGAAATATGGTTTTGGCTATGATAAGATAATATTTTTGGTATTTTTATGATAAAGATGCAAAGTAAAATAAAGGCAAAGTAAATAGCAAAGGAAATAACTAAGTAGTAGGAGATTAATATGATAAAGATAGACCCGGGGGCCATAGGTTTCACTAGTGGCTTCTCTCGAGAGCATAAGTATTCTACGGTGGGTGAACAAATTACTGTTGAGCAATTGACAGAATTGAGCATAGTTATGAGAATATCTAGGTATGATCATGTATATAGGCATCACGTCCGAGACAAGTAGACCGACTCCTGCCTGCATCTACTACTATTACTCCACTCATCGACCGCTATCCAGCATGCATCTAGAGTATTAAGTTAAAAACAGAGTAACGCCTTAAGCAAGATGACATGATGTAGAGGGATAGACTCATGCAATATGAAGAAAACCCCATCTTGTTATCCTCGATGGCAACAATACAATATGTGCCTTGCTGCCCCTACTGTCACTGGGAAAGGACACCGCAAGATTGAACCCAAAGCTAAGCACTTCTCCCATTGCAAGAAAGATCAATCTAGTGCAAAGATAACCAATCATACATAAAAGAATTCAGAGAAGATTCAAATATTATTCATAGATAGACTTGATCATAAACCCACAATTCATCGGTCTCAACAAACACACCACAAAAAGAAGATTACATCGAATAGTTTTCCACAAAAGAGGGGAGAACATTGTATTGAGATCCAAAAAAAGAGAAGAAGCCATCTAGCTACTAACTATGGACCCGTAGGTCTGAGGTAAACTACTCACACTTCATCGGAGGGGCTATGGTGTTGATGTAAAAGCCCTCTGTGATCGATGCCCCCTCCGGCGGAGCTCCGGAACAGGCCCCAAGATGGGATCTCGTGGATACAGAAAGTTATGGTGGTGGAATTAGGGTTTTGGCTCCGTATCTGATCGTTTGGGGGTACGTAGGTATATATAGGAGGAAGGAGTACGTCGGTGGAGCAACAGGGGGCCCACGAGGGTGGAGGGCGCGCCTGAGGGGTAGGCGCGCCCCTACCTCGTGGCCTCCTCTTTTCTTTCTTGATGTAGGGTCCAAGTCTCCCGGATCTTGTTCGTTGAGAAAATCACGTTCCCGAAGGTTTCATTCCGTTTGGACTCCGTTTGATATTCCTTTTCTTCGAAACCCTAAAACAGACAAAAAACACCAATTCTGGCTGGGCCTCCGGTTAATAGGTTAGTCCCAAAAATAATATAAAGTGGATAATAAAACCCAATAATGTCCAAAACAGTATATAATATAGCATGGAGCAATAAAAAATTATAGGTTGGAGACGTATCAACGGTCGTCCATACCGCCTACGTCGTCTCGCAGCTGATGAGGTGACATGCGATGTCCTCCATGCAGGTGAGAAGGAGGCCCTTGACCTTCTAATCCTGAGTCCACCAATGGTGGTACGCCGGGTTAGCGGTGGTCGTCGCGGCATCACCAGTTCCGACGGCGATGGTCTTGTCGGGTGCCGTCGTAGTGCTGTCCAGGTAGCCATGGAGGTTGGCGCCGACTAAGACGGTGCCGGCGATGCCTCCCCACAGCATGAAGTTGTGGCGGCCAAGGTGGACGGAGATCGCCGGAACGGCGAGGGCTGCGAGAACAGTGGCAGCCGCGGGCGAGGTGATGGTGCCGACGCTGGTGGAGAGCGAAAGGGCGGCAGACGACATCGTGGCGGCGGCAGCGGATGGATCAGGCGGCGGCGTAGGGTTCGCGCGGCGGCCCGGTGGCTATCTGATACCAAGTTTAAGAGGTAGGTTTAGGGTTTTGCATGAGTGGCTAACATCCAACCTCACGTCTCAATATATAGATAATCAAAATACAATTACATACGTATACAAATATGTGTACATATACAATATGTTAGACCCTATTTTACAAGGAAGCATATCACCTCCCAAGCCATCATGGATGTCACACCGAGCTGCAGAAGATGCCATATGGAAAAGAAACTATCCGCTACCGCACTCCAAGTAACCACGACTCATTGCTGCCGCCATAGTTGTGCTTCCCTCGCAGCTGACCGCCAACAAGAACTAGTGTAGTCGCCCTAAAAACTACCACCTTGGTCAGATGATCATGTCGTCCCCTCATTGCATGGGAAGAGCAGCCCTGCCGCCACTGTTGGCCGGACGAGCTTCACTTGCCGGGTTTTTCCGGTGGCGGCGAGGCGAATAAAAGAGGACGACAACGAGGAGAAGGTGGTGGACAGGGCGGCGGTTAGAGTTTTTATCAATGCGTCCCCTGAGAACGACACACATATTTATATGATTTCACCCATACGTTCTATAGTAGAAAGATGCAACGCTACCATAACATGGAGCTCGAACTAAAGACCAAGGGATTCTAAACGGGGAAGATGGTGCCCAGGGTGGATTTTTTTGATTCTAAACGGTAAATCGAGTGAGCAGTTTTGCGTCCAAGGGCTAATCGTAGCCGTTGATTTTAGATCTTGCCGTGGCCCCTCTTGCGAGCCGTCGTCTCCAGTCTCTCCACCAGTCAAAAAAACCCAGGCCGTCGGACGCCATCCCTAGCCACCGCGCCGCTATGTCCGCCGCCACCGCCGCGCTCCGGCCAACCGAGCCGTTCCCTCTCCCGAGCGGCCTATCCCTCGCGCGGCGCCTGAAGCTGCTCCTCTCCTTCTCCCGCGCCGACCTTTCCGTGAGCCCCGTCGACGAGTGGCAGCTCAAGTCCGCGCTCCTCGCCTTCCTCCGCAACCCGCCGCTCTCGCTCTCCCTCCTCCAAGACTCCGACCTGTCCGTCAGCCGCCTCCCGGACCTGCAGAAGCGCCGTCGGGACGATCCCGTCGCCTCCGGCATCCTGTACGTCCGCGATCTTTCCTTCCTCCGCCCAAGCAACCGCACAGGAGACGACGAAGCCGAGAAGATGACCCCAGAGCAGGAGGAGAAGAAGTACTCACAGTGGCGGAGCTCCCTGATCGAGAAGCTCGATGGCATCGAGCTCAACCATAAGGGGGTTATGTACCGGATGAGTGCCGAGATCCCCGCCTCAGATGACTTCATGGCCATGAAGAAGTCATGGGAGGATTTTTACGCCTCCGAGCTCTTCAGTACTAGTATGGGCTGGTTCTTGTATTGACTATTCTTGGTTGGATTTGCTACTAGATGGACTTGATAGATGCTTGATTGTTTCAGGGAATCCGGTGAGGAAGATAGCAAAAAGACCAGATACAATTCTTGTGAGAGGTGTGCCGTCCAGGTGGTTTGCGGAGACGAGGATATCGTCGAAGGCGTCCACATTGGTCACCCACACTATCTTCTCAGCTCTTGGTAAAATAAGGTGCAGTCTGGTGTTTGTGACGCATGTTTGGTTCATTATCTACCATCAATTTTTATTGCAATGGCCTACAAGCATACAGGCCAAAGGATTAATGCCACAAAACTGGAAACTGCTAAGGCTTAAAGACACCTAAATGAACTGTATATAAGCTACCTTATACCTCTATATTAATAGAAACATTGGACTACTATTTGTTCATCTCAGTGGCTTCTGATTTGTTTGTAGTACTCCCTCCGATCCATATTAATTGACGTTACTTTTGTACAACTTTGTACTAAAGCAATGTCAATTAATATGGATCGGAGAGTACTTAATTATTCTCACGTGCCTTGTTTTGTCCCGAAAATGGACACATAGTTATGAGCTGTGAACAGAGAGAATCAGTAACACTGGATGATTCCTTAATATATGTTTTCTAATATGATGCCGTTCATGTATAAACTCCGTTATTTCTCATCTTGCTTTCTATCTGATCATTATAGAATTATGATTCGAGTCTCCAAGTCCAAACTAACTTGTGCACATATAACCAGTAACAACTACTCAGAATTCATTGAAAAAGCTTCTTTTTGGCAATAATAAGCAATTTTGGGAATCAAAATGTGAAATAATACATCTTTGGAAACCTTTTCCATTTGTACAGTTGTGCGTGTGAAATCCACGCCACACAAACATGATTAGAAAACCAGACATTATTTAGTACTCCCTGTGTTCCATAATGCAGTGCATATAAATTTTCTGAAAAGTCAAACTTACCAAACTTTGACCAAGTTTATGAAGAAAATTATCTATATCTGTAATACCAAACATATATAATATGAATATTTAACTCATGATGTATCTGATGATATACACTACTATTCTTAATCTAAACTTTTTTCTCTCTAAATATGATCAAAGTTTGACTCTTGAAAAAATCTATACGCACTACATTATGGAATGTAGGGAGTATTATAATAAATTCATTGCACTCACTCTGACTAGTCAGGCTGTGAGCGTTATAATTTTGTTCAGTTTTTACCTCCTGGCACACATGTTACAACGGAGAAAAAGTCTAATTACAAAGAAAATCCTTTATGTTTTTTTGGAGTGGCAACTGGCCATGCAAGAATATTACATGGGCTGATTTCATATTTGTCCCTAAACTGCACGCGTTTAGGCGGAAGCCCATGGGTCCGGGTCCCTGGCTTACCGTGTGAAGGAAATCTGAGCAATCCTGGCCGTTGGGAATCTTGTGTGTTAGCTGTAGATAAGTGGAAGATGTTGCCGTATGAAAAAAAAATCAATGATTGACATTGTTTCTTCATTATTTGTGTGGGAAAAAAATCTAGACCAAATTAAGAAATGATGCACTATATAGCATTCCAGATATTGCTTTGAAATTTCATAGTTAAATTTCTGGGCTTCATTAAGTTCGTCATGGCTAATTGGATTTGCCCGAGGCCACAATCTGGGTTTTTAATTGCTGTCCTGTGATTTGCGTCACTGGAATTGCAATAAACATATTGTCCATTTGATATTTTATATTTGATCCATACCGCTTCAGGAAATTCTTACTAGCTCATAAGGTAGCATGAATATTTGTGCCCTCTAGATGTTTGGTTGACTGCTGTTACCTTTCTCTAAACTTATGCTACACAATCATTTTCTCTCTCCAATTGACAGGACCTTAAATATTTCTAATGATGATGAATTAGATGAAAAAAAAGATGAGACTAATAAGGGTCTCATATCTGGACTCAATTGTAAGGTGTGGGTGCAATTTGAGAATTATGATGACTTCCACAATGCAATGAAGGCATTATGTGGGCGGTCATTAGAGAAGGTAAAGTTTGCATATTCTATCAGTTGTTGCTTCTTAAGTCTTAACCATTCATGCCTATTAGTAGAAGCATAACACAACAACATGACAAGATCTACTTCACTCTATTTATAAGAAATCCATATTTATCATCGCGTAGCTGATATTTTAGAACTGACTATTGGAATGGTAATATATGGACGTATGGAATACATCTTTCCTATTCATGTGTGACATCTTCACCTCTAAGAGCAAGGTTGTCAGAATCGCGATTCTGTTGTACGATTCTACGACTTTACGATCCAAACTAACCCATGTGATTCTATGATTTTGGTCTGTAGAATCTGCGTTTTTACGATCCTAATAGTGAAGATTCTACGATTTGCGATCCTACCATCGAAGCTCCGATCCGATTCAGAATCACGATTCTGACAACCTTGTCTAAGAGTGCCAGTTTTTATCTACTTCTGTAACTTTTTAACCTATTTGTGGTTTGTCTAGTGACTTGTCTCATCTAGCGAACCCTATGGTGAACTTATATGGTCCAATAACGTCTAAGTTTGTGCAAGAATATAAACCAGTTGAGCCGCTTATATGTGAATTGTGTACAGATAAAGCCACCGCTTGGCAAAATTTATAAGATTCTTACTCTTGAAATGTGTGACCCTTGAAAAAAGATCGATGGAGTGAGCCGCAAGGAATAACATTGTGAATTATACATATTTTACTAATCATTGTCAGAAGTACTTGAAATGGTATTACTTATAGGCTAAGTCACGCCAAATCCTTGCGTTGGTATGGTAGAGTACCTTTTTTTAGTGGAGTTTTGTAGTATAGTGATATGGTCCAGTTGATATCTGTCATGATGGGAACTATGGTCTAAAGAAGGGATAACAATAATCAGGAGTACTCCAACACACTTGAATTACGCACATAAAGCAAATATCTTGCATTCTACAGCTCTAAAACCTGTCATCAACCAGTGCATTGAACTCCAAGAAATAGATGTGGTTTGTACAGAAGGCCTTTCCAATACATAATGACTGGAAACATCTTGCATTTAGAGCTGAAAACATGTCATGTAATAGTGCATTAACATCCACAAGAAACTTAAATGTGTTAACCTTGAACCCACTGCTCAATGTACTTGACCCAGTAGGTGGCCCTGTCCTTGTGTACATTGGCGAGCAGTAGCAATTTCAGGCATACCTCCATAGGCGCAGCGCCGCAGCCTGTTTTTGTTCTTGTTAGGCCCTGCCATCATTGGCAGCTGTTGTGGCCCTTTTTTCTGAAGTATTTGTAAGATCACGGAAGATGCCCCAACAACGTCACAAATATCACACCCTCCTTTGACTATACAGTTTTGCATGACAATGTGATGAGCCGGTCGAAGGGTGCTACCAGTGTTGGAAGCTCAGCGTCCATGTCAAAATCCTAGACACCATCACCAAACTGTGCCACAACAGCATGTGTAAACTACCCTAACAATTGCAATTCTACATGTGCTCTAGGACCGCTGCTCATCATTCCATTGCCACAACCTTGACGCCTATTGCTTCTTGTAGAAGATGTACCATATAAGGGAAAACCTAAGAAGCACCGACGCAGTCAGAGCTGCCGATTTGCCGTCCTGATACGGGGGGACACGGGGATATGCTTGGATACGGCTGGATACGCATATCACGAGTAATCCATCTTTTTTGAATTAAAAAAGAAAGAAATGTTACGGCCTAGATTCGGCATTGAGACGGTGGGGACTAGGGAGCCAGCCTCCAGTGACCACACTGCTGCCCAGTTCTCCTCGTGTCCCCGTATGCGTATCGCCTTGTCTCCGTTCCGTATCCGTGCTTCTTAGGGGAAAACGAATTTTCAAGGCAGGGGTGAGCCCTGCTTGAGAACTGTAACAGGGTGCTCTACTAGTGCCCTGTAGAGACATTAAGGAAATTGTTACTGCTCACTGCCGTGATTGCACACTAGTGTCAGGTTTGATGCGGTGTCTAGTGCACTAATGCCTGACATGTTTTCAGCTCTGATGGAAGACATTTCCTCCAAAGTGTTAGCAGATCATCCCTCAAAAAAAAAAATGTTAGCAGATCACCTACAATGTGTGATGACTTACACTTGATATTTGCTCATGTTTTTATTCTTTCTTTATATAACATTAGTTGCCTGACATGACATGATGTAGTATTCAAATGGATTATCCCATGGTTCCATGATTTTCTATTGAATAAGAGAAGGAAATAGCATTACAAATACTTTTGACATGATGATCATCAACTAAATAAGTAAAAGAGATGTAGAATTTAGAGAGCATATTCCTTTGAATTCACTCCATCAATATTTTCTCAAGGGTTCACACATTTTGATAGAAATTTTACAAGACCAATGGCTAGTAACTGATGGCTTCTAGTCTCTGTACCCTAGTCACTACACAATACAGGTTAACGTCTAATAAATCTTTGCATTTTGTGTTAGAAAGCATAATGAAAGCTGACTCGTTTATTTTGTTTTTAAAGGAAGGATCACGGTTGAAAGTGAACTATGATGTGACTTGGGACAGGGAAGGTTTCTTTCGTAATACACAATACGAGCCTGCACATAACAAACTAGAAGAAATAGATGCACCGGTACATGGAAGGAAGAAACATTACACCTCGCGAATCGAATCAGATCATAGGAAGAGATTCAGGGTAAGTTACCATGTCAAGTTTTATGCCAAAAGTTTTCAACTCTGATTTTGGCATGTCTGTGACATCATGCTCCATTACAACTGAAGCATTCCTGCATGGTTCCTGCCAAATATATTACCAGAACGTGGCTCGTCTTCAAATTTGAAACGTGTGTAATATGAGGAACATTATTTGGCAGTGCTTCAGTTCACATGCATACATTTATCTTCATGGAGATTTAATATAACAGGATCATGGGGCGCAATATTGATGAGGAAACTTGACACCGTGGCCTACTACTGTACCTCTGTTACTAATGTAAGACGTGAGCTGCCAAAACGTCTTACATCAGCGAACAGAGGTAGTATCAGGCAAATACCTGTTTAGAAGTTTAAAATGCAGATAGTTTGCCTCCACTTGCCTTGTATTTGTCATGTGGGGCGCTGCGTACAGGCGCGGGTCGCGCGCCCAGGGGCAGCAGCCGACGGCCACAGCTGGCGAGGCATGATCGGGACAAGGAGTCCTGATCCTACGTTGGTTCCTAGAGTCCAGGAATAGTTAGTTTCCTAGTTTGTTAGGAGTCCAGGAGTAGTTAGTTTCCTAGTTTGTTAGAAGCCCATAAGGCCTTTATATATCCTGTAATCTGCACCCTTGGACGCAGGCAATAAATCATTATCTCCTACCTCCTCCTCTACTCCTAATCTCTTCTCCTGCACCATTGAGCAGTTAGGCAAAAACCCTAGCGCTCCTATCAACCGAGACTACGAACTACGTAGTAGAGGTCCTGCTGTCTTGGGCACCGAGGTCCTTGACAACTTGGTATCAGGTTCCAGGCGATCCTCTTCCCCGTCCGCGCTCCATCCGCAGCCCGCCGCCACCCTTGCGTCCGCGCCAAGCACACCTCCATCGCCACCATCCGCCGCCGCCTCGGTCACTTCCGGCATGGCAGAACCAACCACCGCTGATCTGGCCATGATGATCGAGGCCTTGACTGCAACGGTGGCGTCCCTGCAGACGTCCGTCGCCGCGCTCCAGAAGGACAAGTCTACCTCCTCGTCGAGCACTGCCGGCGCCCACGATGGGCAGCACCACAATGATCGCCCGCCCCGGTTTCAGAAGATGGACTTCCCCAAGTTCGACGGCAAGTCAGATCCGCTCGCTTTCCTCAACAGATGCGAGTCCTTCTTCCATCAACAACGGATCGCCGAGGAGGAAAAAGTCTGGATGGCGTCCTACAACCTTGAGGGTTCTGCCCAGCTGTGGTACATGCAGGTCCAGCGTGACGAGGGCACTCCGCCGTGGCGCCGCTTCTCCGAGCTGCTCAACCTCCGCTTCGGGCCACCTCTACGCGCTAAACCCGCTGGGCGAACTAATGGCGTGCAAGCGCACAACGTCCGTAGTCGACTTCCAGGAGCGGTTTGAGGCGCTCCTCCCCCGGGCAGGCATCTTATCAGAGACACAGAAGGTTCAGATCTTCACCGCGGGACTCCAGCCACCCCTCAGCCTCGACGTGGAAATCCACAACCCGCAGTCCCTCGCCGTCGCCATGAGCCTCGCCCGCAAGTTGGAGCTGCGCGACCAGTGCACGCTCACCTCCGCACCACCGGTGCGTTTTTAGCAGAAGGGCATCCTGCCGGCGCCCGTACCACGCCTCGCGCCCCCCGTACCGGCTCTACCAGCCGCACCCCCTGCACCTAGTCTGCCGGAAGGGCGCCCAATCAAACGCCTGTCACAGACAGAGATGGAGGAACGCCGTCGCCTGGGCCTATGCTTCAATTGTAATGAGAAGTTTGGCAGGGGCCACAACCGCGTCTGCCAGCGCATCTTCCTCCTCGACCTGGCGCCGGACGACGACGACGACGACACGGCCTCCGCCACCGCTGATGCCTCGCCGGCCGACCCTCGGATCTCGCTCCACGCGATCTCCGGCGTGCGCACGAGCGAGACCATGCAGATGCATGTCACCCTCGGGGGTGTCTCCCTCCTCGCCCTGATCGACTCAGGCTCCACCCACAACTTCATCGCTGAGGAGGCGGCCGCTCGTGCTACACTGCCATCCCCCACCACCGAGAAGATGCGTGTCACGGTGGCCAACGGCGAGCGTGTTCCGTGCCAGGGCGCATACCGCGCCGTCTCCTTCCGCATCGACCAGGAGGCGTTCTCGGAGGATTTTCTCGCCTTGCCGCTCGCAGGCTACGACGTCATCTTGGGCACGCAATGGCTGGCGACGCTTGGACCGATCCT